GGTTAGCACTTAGGGTTTCATCAATTCACCAAAACCAAACTAGAGCTTTCAGTAGTGCGGGTGCGCCATGCTGCAATTGTGAAAAACAATGAGAGAACGTTAGAATATGGAAAAAGTAATTGAAACGTGCTATATGGTACAAAAACAACAAACAAATGCATGGAATATATAAGCAACTCCTATTTTAATCTATGTATGTACCTTTATAACCTTCGAACCACTAGTACTCCCGTTCCGTGTTTGTAATTTCTTTGAGTTCTTACGCTTCTTATGTGTGGCAGCGGTATGACCTGTTTTGTGGCATTTGGAGCAACAGACCTGTCCCGGTGCCTCATCAAAGTCACCAAAACCATACATATCTTCACCATACCCGTTCGATGCATCCATAACTCCTTGGAGCCACTTTTTCTTCCTTCTACCCTTCTTTGTCTTTAGAAGGTCCGATTCAGGAACAAAATCCAACCCATAGTACTCGGGCCATTGTGTCGAATCGAGGTAAGGCTCGAAGCTTGACTCCCACACTTTGAGAGTGTTTGACATGAGGTAAAAAATAGACATGAACTTTTTAGTTTCATGGTCTCGACCCCTGCATCTGCAAGCTGTGATGACATGTGAGCAAGACACATGGAAGAGTTGTGGAATGTTACAAGAGCACTCCACTTTGTCAAGGTCGATCCTATAATTCCTACCACCGTACTTCTCGCCCCCCGGGTTCGTTCCTCCGGCTGACCTGATATTGTAGACTAACCTTGATGGGCCTAAGGCCTCCCCCACTAGGTTGGAAGCTATCATCTCCGAGAGATCCAAGTGTTTTCTATCAGCTCTACCCCATTTCTCTTTAGACGCCTTTGCTATGTTCCATCGATTCAAAAGTATTCATTGCACTTCCTAAACGAGTACTCCACAATACCTGACACGGGGACTACACGGATACCGTTGAACACCTTGTTGAATGATTCTGAAGAATTGGTAGTCATCACGCCGTACCGAAGACCTCCAACATTGAATGCAAGAGCCCACTTCTCCCTTTCAGGCATCTGATCCTCAAGCCAAGTCTTTGCCCTAGCATTGAAGACCTTCTATAACTCCGCAAGCATCTCTTTGAACTTTTCCTTGGTTCGACACCCACATAGTGACTTTAACTTCTGCACTATGTCCTTTTTCTTCTGCCTCCGCCATATGTTGGCAGCAAAGTGCCTCATGGACCACCGATGCTCAAGAGGAGGGCGTCCATCTACATGCTCTTTCACAGCTGTCAACAGACCGTGATGCTGATCTAAGATCATGCATATGTTCCAAGATGAACGGAGCACATTCTGTCTCACAAGCTTCATGAACCAACACCAGCTATCGTCGTTCTCACCCTCAGCCAAAGCGAATGCTAAAGGGACAAATTGATTGTCATGGTCCACTCCAACGACAATCATCAATACACCCCTATACTTGCCTATCAGGAATGTACCATCAACAAGTACTAACGGACGACAATGCTTGAAGGCCTCCGCCGACTGAGCAAAACACCAAAAAACTGCAAAACATGCTTCGGAACACCATCCACGTCCGTGACAATGCGACCCACATAAGGATACCACCTAAGGCCTAGATTGAAGTGTTTCATGGCACTTAGAATCCTAGGAACTTGGTTGTATGACTCTTTCCAATCGCCCCATAGCAACTCTATAGCATGCTGCTTTGCCCGCCATGCCTTTGAGTACTTCACTCTATAACCAGTGAACCCAAATATGGTCTCGATCATGCTTGAAACAGATGTATCACTATCGGCCCTAACCATGCCAACAAGACAACGGCCAAGGTAACATGCCGTGTTTTAGGCGTGTACATCGTTCGACTTTGAAGATCGACAGGTGCGAGGTTGCCTCACATTGCGAATCTTCCACTTTTAGTTTTTCTACCTCTAAGCCCATAGACCCCATTGACATCCATTCTTGCAAAGGACCGTGTACCTCTTGTTCTTGTCGGAGTGGCTCACATAATACGACCTGTGAAACCTAACGGCATAATCCATCAGGAAATACTTGAGATGCTCCAACATATCAAATACCATCCCCTTTTCAATCTCCACCTCCTCACTATCTAGTATCGCATCGGACAACAACGTCAAACTGGTGTCACATATTGCCTGGTCAACCATACTAATGTCCATGAAATTTGGTACCGAGGGTACCTCCACATGGACAGCCTTTAATTGCCTCAATTCAATGTTATTGTACTCCATTGTCAATGACCCGTCAGCTGGGACTCCTATTGCGTCCGCAAACCCTTCCTCACAACAATCACTTTCGTCCTCGCTACTAGGCTTAGACCTATACTCATCCTCCAACGCATCATCCAAAGTACTTGGGCCCGAAGTAAAGTCATCTTCGTCCATGGAGCCAACATCAACTTCATCATCCTCTGATCCTTAGGATATGTCATCCATATCATGTGTTCCATCTCCGTTGCCATCGTCCTCATCAAACATTTCTTCATCAAAATCATCATTCAAGGCACTTGACTCACATGACCTATCAACTTCTCTAACGACAACTACCGGTAACTCTTTGTCTTGGGTAAGGTTCTCTACGGGCTCCAAATCTACACTATCATCCACTGCCACCACAATTCGGCTAGACCCCTTCTCCACAACAACTTCCAAGCACCTAACACTGCTACTCTTGACAACATCTATGTAATTCTTCCATTCATCCTCACATGACAAAGACATCAACACATAATGTGCCCATTCCTTCCCACAGTCAAATCTATCTCTCAAACTTAGTGGCCACCCAAATTTATCCTGGCATTTGCTAACCAAAGCATCAAAGGTAGGAGGTCCACTAAAGAACTCAACATGTTCCTGCATACTTTCGAACTCCCCGTTTCCTTTCACTTTGCCACCATGAAACAATCGCACTAACCGATCCATCTACAAAATACGAACCAACACATCAATACCAATATCAACTACACATTTCCTAACCCAAACGTTTGCATTCACACCTACATTACCATGACACAAAATGGAACAAACATACCTATACAAATCCTTCATGTATCAACTACCTACGTCCATGCAATAAGAACTTTACGTCCAATCCACGAGTAGAGTATTTCCTAAAACTAATGCACACATCAAACACTAAGAATGAATGCTAAAAACGTATTCATAACATACCAAATTTGCTAACCCTACCATGCAACTAAAGAGCCAAAGCATCAAGAAATCAAGGCGGGGAACTTGTACCAGGAGGTGTTGGACGGTGGGGAAGGCCGGCGGCCGGTGATGGCGGGGGGAGGGACGGGAGGCGGCGGGGGGCTATCGTCGGCACGGCCAGCAAGGCGCCAAGGCAGAGGCACGCCTTGACCACTGGCACTGCCGGCGGTGGGGGCCTCCTCTCTCTCACGCAGACAGAGAGGGACGCGACCCCTGGGGGTGCTGGAGAGGTGGAGGCGCTGGAGGAGAGGTAGGCGCGGCAGTGGCGAGGCGGAGGTGACGGTGCACAGGTGGCCACACGTGGGAAGGGAGACGATAGAGAGAGGAAGAAAATGGGCCGGGCCGCCTAAACCTAAGTCCCCTTGTCGCAACAGCCCAATCGCGCCGGAGTCGTTGGCGCGACAAGGCAGGTCCCACTGTTTGCCCCGCCAGCTCTGATCAATGACGGAGGCCATCGTGGCGCCCCTTGTCGCGCCAGCGCATGTGGCGCGACAAAGTAGTCCAATTGCGCCATCCTCGTAGGCGCGACAAAAAGGGTCAGTTTTGCAAATACTTTTTTTTGGATTAGTATTAAAATATTGATTAAAAATGAATTAAAAATAAAAAAAATTCCAATTGGGTTGAACCCATCCCTAAAAATGGGATCCAACCCATTCCTTCTAATTTCGGAACCAACCACACGCTAAAAGGAGTTATAAAAGTTAGTTGTAGATTTATAAATACTTTTTAACAAGCATACGCTTAAATAGATTTATAACTAAGTTATACATGAGCCAATCTATAACTAAGTTATACATGAGCCAATATGTATGAAATTTTTACTACAGTTGAAGAATACAATAATTAGTCCCCCATAAAATTTCACAACAATTGGACCATAGAAACTGCAGCTATGAATTAATTATAGAAAAACATGGATCTAAAGCTACATCAAAACATTTGTACTAAAGCATACTGTATTATATGTTCACAGTGTAGATCTACTGATGTTGAGTCCTAACAAAATTAGATTTTCTATTTTATGATTTCTAGGTGATTTACTATGATTTTTTTAAATATTCAGCCAAAATAAATAAAAAAGAAAAAGACAAAACCGTATTTCAAATTCGCTTATAACCGGTCAGGGAGGTAAAATGAACTGTTTTAAAAGTTTAGGGAGGTGGTTTATCCGGTTTTAGAGTTCAACGAGGAGAATCAGACTTTCATAAGAGTTGAGGAGGTAACTTGGATTTTTTCCTTAGGGAAAATGCACTTGTGTTTTGGGCCGTTTCCAGGCTCCAATCTACTCTCGGCGGTGGCATGGGCGCGGTGGGCTGGCCAGTTGAGCTGCAGGCGGCGGCCTCGCCTACTTCTTCCTCCCCGTTGTTTCTCTCTCCGGGACCCACAAGTCACGTGACTTTTCGCATCCCCACCCAGTGCGCTCTCTCTCCCGGCTTGGCCTTCTTTCCTGGCGGCGACGGCTAGTCGAACGCCGCCGCCCTTGGCTAGGTTTTCTTCGGGCCCTTCGCCGGCGACGAGCATCCACCAGGTACCCTCCGCCCCTCCCCTCCCCTCCCCTCCCCTCCCCGTCCCTTCCCATCCTATCGCTTCACGCTCTGTGAAACCGAGCACCCCCAAGCCCTAGGGTAAGCTTATTTGTGTTGGGATCTGACCCAATTTACATCCACATTATATATCTTATTATGCCCACTAGCTTTTGCCCCCGTCCTGAATTTGGGTGCTAATTCTGTGGTACTGTTTGCGGATATTCAGGGGCCAACTGAGCTGAGCCTGCAGTAGCGACACTATGGTAATTTTTTCCCCTCCTGTTTGTTTCCTCTTTGGGTGCCCCCGCCTTGTTGGTGTTAGGGTGGCGGTGGAGTTCGATTGACGCGCCTCCCTTGTTGTGCCAGTTGTTCTTCTCCTACTTCAAGGAGCTCGTGGGGAAGGAGGTGACAGTGGAGCTCAAGAACGACCTGGCGATCCGCGGGACGCTCCACTCGGTTGACCAGTACCTCAACATCAAGCTGGAGAACACCCGCGTTGTTGACCAGGACAAATATCCCCACATGGTATGTCTGTCTGCTGTCGTGTCTAATTGTTATTATGTGCCAGCACAGAATTCATGCCCTTCAGCATACTCCTACTAGAGAGTTTGTAGGCTATTAGATTGTTGCTCCTTCCTTGGTTGTTTTATGCTCATTCATCCTTGTTTGATATATCTGCTTGGTGGGAACTAGGAACTGCAGGGAAAAGGCCATAGTAGTAGCAGTTACTCCCATTTTCCACCATCTTTGGTAGTGTGATGGAAGGTTCCTGTGTTGTACAGATAAAGGCCAGAAGGGATGTGTTACTGGCATTCTTGCGGCAGACCTTACAATAATTGCATAACTGTGCACTTGATTTGTAGGGGACTTACCCTTAAAATTGACTGTCAGAACTTAGTGTTTGGGTGATTTGTTGGTGCCCATGTCCACACATACAGAACAGCAACACAAATTTCTTGTTGCAACCTTTACTCCAAGGTAGTGTTTGGTTCCGAGGACAAGGTGGGATGGGATGGGACGGTCCTAGTTTTTGTGGTGTTTGGTTGGGACTTGGGAGACAAGAGGGGACGGAGTCATCCCACTAGCTAATATTCCACATATATGCGGGGCAACCATCCCTCGGAAAAAGGCGGGGGAGCTCGTCCTCACTCATGTCGTGACTTGGCTCATCCTCGTGTGACTGGGTGGGGGTTGGGCGGGCGGCGCGGTCGACCGAACAGGGCACGGACAGGTGGAGGCACAACCGAGCAGGGGCTGTATGGTGCGCTGGTGGGCTGGTGGCCATGGCACGGACGGGTGGGGGCGCAACCAAGCAGTGGCTCTACGGGGCGACAGAGGCCATGGCGCCAATGGGCGAGAGCCGGCAGAAGTGGCGTGGTTGGGTGGCAGACGGCGCGGATGGGCGGGGCCGGGCTAGTTGACCAGATGGGGTGCGGACAGGCAGGGGTGCGTCCAAGCAAGTCCTGACAGGGCACCGGCAGCCATGGCACAGATGGGCGGAGCTGGCCGGAGTGGAGCGGCCGAGCGAGAGTTGGTTGGGCACCACCGAACGGGCGGCGCGGGGGTCTGGATGGGCGGTGGTGGCCTTCTCTGAGGTGTGGTGGGGAGGAAGAGGATTAGTAATGATACTGATAGTTAGGGCCCACATAACAGTGGCAGACAGACAAAAATCTGCTATCCATGTAATCCCTTCTTATCCCATCCCTCTGAACCAAACGCAGCCTAATTGCATAGCTGTGCTGTTAACTGGCAGAAGATTTACCCTAATACTGACTGTCAGAACACAGTGCTTGGGTAATTCAATGGTATTCAGTGTCCATGAAGGCAGAACAAAACCACAGATTTGTCCTTGAAGAATTCATATATAGAATATAGTTCACTTTTGCATTGTGTACCAGACCCTCACATTCTCATATGTTGAGTGTGTCTTAGTGAGCCCCTCTAGCATGCGCCTGATTGTATTGTACTGTAAATTTAGGAAACGCTGTTAGTTTGTGAATGAAAGTTCTGTTCCTAAATCATGGCTCAGAAGTTGCATAGTTAAATAACTATAATCGATCCAGTCAGTGTTCAAGAAGGCGCTATGGGGATGGGTACCGCCTTGCCTAGGGGGGTAGGCGGACGTTGGGCAGCGGAGGAGGAAGGGAGCGGCGAGCGGAGATCACCGGTGGGGGAGGTTGAGTTGAGCGGCGGGCGGCGGGTGGAGGTCGCCGGTGGGGGAGGAATAGCGGCGGGCGCGGGCGTGTGCGGGCGGCGCGCCGACCAGAGGAGACAGGAACCAGCGGCGGCGGCGGCTGATATGCGTGTGTGCAGCATGCGGGAGAGACTGAGCAGAGGAAAAAGAAGGGATAAGGTGCCGGGGGACTTGGGCTTTGGGCCGTTTTCTGTTTTATGGGCCTTTCTCTTCAGTGAAGTCCACTTATCTCCTGTTTTCTTTTTCTTTTTTCAACATGATATGTGTGTATTAGCCACCGCCTAGAAAAACGCCTAGGCTTGCTTAGGCTCTAGGCGGTGGGTCACCGCCTAGCGCCGTTTCTAGGCGGAGGGCAGCCGGTGCGACCGCCGGGGGCCCAAGCCACTAGGGGGCCCATGAAAATATATGTATATAGTAAGTATATAGCTATTATAATTAAGCGATGAAAGCCTATATATTTAGTATAGCAGCCCATGAGAGTTTTGAGGGTCAGCGTCTTTTCCTATTCTCGATCGACGTCATTTGTCTTTCTTGTGGTCTCGTCCCACGCCCAACCCAACAAGAAAGACAAATGTTGTCCAATCGTTATCTTTTATTTGAGGTAATCATAAATAGTTATTTTACTTTTCTTTTAGTTCATTATATTAGTTGTATGATCGTTATGTTTAACTAAACATATGTTGCAAGTTATTCTTTCATATGATATATTTAATTGTCATATTAAAAATTAGTTTAATAGGCCCTTATGACTTTGCTTGCCCAAGGGCCTTTAAAATTGTAGGCCCTTATGACCTTGCTTGCCCAAGGGCCTTTAAACTTGTAGAGACAGCCCTACACCTAGAGACCGCCTAGCGCCTTCTTGAACCTTGGATCCAGTCGCTGCCTCCACTCCTATGTATGATTGAACTCAATTCCGTAGAAGGATGCTTAGATAGATGCAAGGTTGTGGGGGCACGCCAGTTGTGTTAGTTGCTGATCTAGTTCTGGTTGTCTAAACTTCTGAATCCATTGTCTATTTCTAAAGGATGTTCATCTAATTCTGAATGTATTGATCATTGATAAATGAATCTTCATAAATAAACGCTCAAATATGCTAATATGTTCTTGGAAGTGTTACTGATATTTGCATATGAAATTTTAAAACCTTTTTAATTCCCTGGCAAGATATAGATAGACAAGTCACCAGTGCAAGATATAGGCTTCCTTTCTATTGTTCTTGATAATGGAAGTAATCTGATGGTCTCAACTAAATAAGAAAAGAAAGGTAAAAAGATTGATACTAGGAAGTTGACACATCTGGATTTTCCTTCTCACGTGAGTTATGGGTCGATCTAATCAATCTGTACTGATCTAGCATTTCTGTGGCAGCCTTGCGCTACATTTAGTTACTTTAGTTGTGCTCTGTACTCTGTAGCATTCTGACCTTGAAATTTTGTGTTGGAACTCAGTGCATGGGTAATGGATGGCGTCCCACAGTCCACACACACAGAATAGAACCATAGATGTAGCAAATGAAAGAAATGGAACATTCATGTCCACTGGACTTGTGCATGAACTCACACATCAAATTGAGTAACTTGAAGAAGTCTAATGAGCCCCTCTAGCATGGCACTGATGTGCTTGGTTTGTCATTACTGCTGTACTTCGAATTCATTAGATCTTTTCAGGCTATGCATATATATATGCATGTTATATTTGGAATGCTCACTTCATGTAGTTGCATGAGTGAAATGAATAAGAGAGATCGCAGCGGTTCTGCTCCTTCACATCATGATTGTTCAGGTCTTCTTAGTGCTTGCACCGCACTTGATGACTTTTTATGAGCCAGTTAATTCCAGCACAAACTGCTAGTGGAACTACATTTTTTTACTCCCCTGATCCCAAATGTAGGTCGTTTTCGATTTGTCCTAAGTTAAAACACTTTTTTAAACCTTGACCACCAATGGCTAAAAATCTAAAATAGATTTTCAACATAAGGTTCAGGCTACTAGTTTCGCCATGAAAATTAATTTCATAATATGTATTTATCACGATTTGAAATATATATTTCCTTTGAATTTTCTTGTCGGAGTTTCACTTTGTAAACCTGTGTCCTAAGTGATTTGCATTTGAAATATTATAAGAATTTCACTTTGTAAACCTGTGTCCTAAGTGATTTGCATTTGAAATATTATAAGAACCATGCTGATGTGGGTTACTGCTCAATCAGCTTGTGGTTGCTACTTTCTAAACAAACAGTGTGAATGAAGTTGATATATGTGCTGGATTCTCCTTTTGACGCGCTGCTCATGGGTGTATTTTTTGGGACCTTATTTTTTTAAACGAATTTTTGGGACCTTATTAATTAGTGCTGCTGGCAGGTAGGGTGCTGATATCTAGTTTTAGTTGGCATTTATTTAGTTAGCCTTTTGTTTGGGCCACTGAAGTTGATTGGATTATATTTCTGCAGGTGGGTGAGTGTTGGGAACAATACTGTTTTGTCATAAATACATACTATGCAGTATATTGCTAAAGTGTGGTTTTCATACGTACAAGATGCTTGAAGTATTCTCAAAGCAAAGCAATCCTTAGATATTCCTATCCTGTACCCTATTTTGTGGGTAGCATAGCTATCTGTTGTCTGACGTATAAGTATATCCCTTTTTTTGTGTTCTGCTTGGTGAATGCACAGAATGCTTAGGCTCTTTTACACCAGTGCTGCAACCTTTTCTGACTAGGCTGTTGGAAGCATCACATCCGTTGCATTTCTTTTGAATGGGCACACTAACCAAGCTGTAGGAAGTGATAGTGAATTATTTATTGGTGCTGGACATGCTGTTAACAGTCAAATCATTCTCCTTTTGCAGCTGTCAGTGCGGAACTGCTTCATCAGGGGCTCGGTGGTGCGGTACGTGCTGCTCCCGCAGGACGGCGTGGACATCGACATCCTCCACGACGCCACCAGGAGGGAGGCGCGCGGAGGCTGATCCTGATCGGCACCGCCCCACCACCGGCCCTCACCTGCTGGCTGCTGCTGCTGCTTCCCCGGGGAGGAGATTTGCCTTGCCCTGATCTGACTGTACGAAGCATGCATGTATGGTGGTTGGTGGGTGTGTTAGACAGATGCTGGTCCGAGTTGCCGAACACCGCCCCACTTGATCCACCAGTTAGTTCCCTGGTACTTGCCGTGACAGACATTCCAGGTTGGGTGATGACCTGCTATATATCATATCATACTATGCCATGGCCCCTGCATGTTCCTTGTGGGTTGCTGTCTGTCAGTAATGCTGTTTGACCAAGAGGGCCCCCACTGATTAGCTGTGATGTTCCGCCCTGTCTCTGTCTGGTCATGTTTTCCTTGAGACACGCTATTTATCATCAACGGCAGGCATTGCCGTGCAAAAAGCATTTTTAATGACCGGTCGGAAGATCGGTGATGCTGAATCATTAGCACAGGGATTAGGGGGTGAGTGTGCCCTGAAGTTAAAGCGACGCCACACACCGGTCCATGTTGGAATGGCGTCGCTGATCATAACGGATGCAGCGGTTGTTGAAACGCGTACAGTACCCAAGGTAGGTGGGATTAGCGGTTGCCGGTTGGTCTGTGCTTGTTCATCACCAAGCTCTGCTTGAAGAGAAGAACACGTTGGATCTGCTGCCTTG